CACGATCTCGCGGTCCACGAGTTCGAGCCCCGCGTCGGGCTCTGAGCTGATGGCTCAGAGCCTGGAGCCTGTTTCCGATTCTGTGTCTCCCTCTCTCTCTGCCCCTCCCCCGTTCATGCTCTGTCTCTCTCTGTCCCAAAAATAAATAAACGTTGAAAAAAAAAAAAAAAAAGTGAATGGTTCTCTTCAGGCCAGATCTTAAAAGATAGGGTTAATGTAACGTCTCAATTTTCCACGTTAACCATAGCAAAACATTTGATAGAGATTACAAAAGAAGTCAAGTTTATTACTTAAGGCTTAGAGAGTTTTAAATTCCACCCTCTAATTAAGTGAAGGAGGAAAAACAGGCCTCCTTCAGTATCTGATGTCCCAGAGTTTCGAAACCCAAGTGCTGTTTGCCCAGCATTGCGTTGTTAGTGATTTCCTGTCACAGATGCTTAAATTCTCATGCATTTTAGGATATTATTTCTGTTTTGTTTTTTTCTTTTTTTAAATTTTTGACATTTATTCCTTTTTTGAGAAACAGTGTGAGTGGGGGAAGGACAGAGAGAGAGGGAGACACAGAATCCGAAGCAGGCTCCAGGCTCTGAGATGTCAGCACAGAGCCTGACGCCGGGGCTTGGACTCACGAACTGTGGGATCGTGACCTGAGCCGAAGCCGGACGCCTAACCGACTGAGCTACCCGGGCGCCGCCCCCTCTTTTTTTATTTAAATACATTTTCATGCATGCTGGCATTTTAGTAGCTCTGAACTCTTGAACAGGAATGGAAAAAAATAACTGTTTTAAATCGGTTCTAAAAGGTACAGCTGCAGATTAAACTTTACCTTTAGGTATCCTCTGCCACATCAGTAAATCAGAAGCAGTTGGGAAGGGGCAAAAGCAGTAAATCCTGGCAGAGCAAGGCTGTTGAGCAAAGGCATTCTGTGCAGTCACTTGCTGGAGGGTCTCATGGAACAGTTGCTGCTACAAAGACAGGCACAGTGGCCAGGCAGGGACAGTGCGGTGTCACACCACACTGAGAGATGCTAGTCACAATCGAAACCAAATCAAGGCTCATCTGGGGGCTTAAAGCCCAGGGCCCAACCCACACTGGAGAGAGATCTCATTTGGAGAGGCTTCTCCAGGTCCCAGGTCAAAGGCAAGAGCCAACGGTGGTTTCCAGGGAGTTGGCAAGAGGTATTCTGTCCAAACTGTGGGATCATCTAGGGTTAATTTAAACAGGCATCGGCATGAGTTAAGGATTAGGAAATGAAGTCAGTAATAGTTACTTGTTGTTAATTCATGTTCTATATTGATGTTTTTTGTATATGCACTGGCTGTGAACTATATGGTTCTCTCCAGTCTTTCAGCGGGTAAGCAAATGTTTGAAAAATGCAGTGTCCTTTGAGCTACTTAATTGGACCTAAGGGGAGCCCTCCTTTTCAGCCCACAAGGCCATAACCCACGTGCCGGGGCCCCATAGTGTGTGTTGCGGTAAGATGAGGCACAGTACTGAGAGGAGGCAGCCTCTGAGGGGCTGCTTTACAAACCATGAAATAGCCACGAATATCTCCCACATGTACTGACCACACGTTTGAACTGTGTTTGTTCTTTCCTAGATTCAGTGCCCATTTGGTCTTCCACCATCACAGATGGCAGCAATGGTAAGGTCTTGTTTTGTTTAACTCATAAAGAAAAGGGTACACTTTAGTCTTTAGAGTCTTGGTGTTCTCAGTCTATGAAGGAGAAGACCAAAGAAACAAATACAGCGGAAAACTCGAAGGCACCATTGGGTAGGCTGCTAGACCTCTTTTGTCCGGGCACCGAGGAGTGAGCCAGGCCGGCAGGTGTTTAGGGAGCAGAGAGGGAAGGACCGGAGAAGGTCCTGCTCGTTAGTGCGTGCAGTTGGTGGAACCCGTCGCTTACTTACAGTGGGTAGAGAGGGCCAAGATGGTTGACGTCCTCATCTCTCCCTGCATCTTATCTAATGGTGATAATTAGTAGCCTCTGTCCCCACTTTATCATGGCCGTAACCTTAAACTCATTGTCCCGTGCGCACGTGAGAGCACGTGTGGATACACTTGGTGTCTCCTGTGGGCGTGGGCCGTCCTGCGTCCTCTGGTGCAGGAGTAGCACCAGAGTAGATGCAGAGTAGGTATTTAGTAGACACCCGGTGGATACTTGTGGTTTAGTCAAACATTCGGCGGTTCTCCACCTCCCTTTATTTCGCAGGCGGCAGCCTGGAAAACTACGCAGCCTTGGTCTTCTCATCCCGTATACACAAGATACTGGCGACACTACCATCAGGCGATGGCCTGGATGCGAAGCCACCATAATGCCTACAGGAAGGCCGTGGAGTCTTACCTCACCGGCCCGCGGTTCTTCCCTCCTGCGTCTCTCCCCAGAAGCTCTTACGCTGACAAGGCCGGGTCTCCTTGGCCCTCTCGTGACCGCCCCCCGGCCCCCCCGGACTCGCGCCGCAGCCACTCACATACTAGAAGGTCCGGGCAGCGTCCGCGGGCCTGCGCGACAGAAAAGCGGGCTCGGCCCGCAGAGGAGGAGGCGGACAGCGAGTCGGACGGGGGCGTGGAGTGCGACCTGAGCAACATGGAGATCACCGAGGAGCTGCGCCAGTACTTCGCAGAGACCGAGCGGCACCGGGAGGAGCGACGTAAGTGTGCGCCTGGCCCCGCGTGCTTCCTTCCACGCCCTGCCTTTTGCGTGGTCTTCTGCCCTGGGTGTTATTTTGTAAGTTCCTGCTATTCCGCATCCAGTCCCGCCTCAGCTCTGTCACTCCGAGGAGGCGTTTTAATATAGGACTTTTTAGGGGCACCCGGTGGCTCAGTAGGTTAAGTGTCCGAGTCTTGATTTCAGCCCAGGTCATGATCGCACAGTTTGTGAGATCAAGCCCTTCATCAGGCTCCGAGCTGAGCGGGAGACTTCTTAAGATTCTCCCGCTTGCTCGCTCGCTCGCTCGCTGTCTCTCTCTCTCAAATAAAAAAAAAAAGTATACCCAAACAAGTATTTTTAAAACACTACTTTCTATTTTACATAAAATACATTTCTTTCCTTCATCTTCAGAAATAAATTTTACCTTTTAGACAAAATACATACGAAATAACCATTACTCTAATTGGAAAGTATACAACGATGAAGGAGAGGAGGTGTTCAAGCATGTCCACATTTGGTTGGAATGCTCTTTTTTACAGCTCTTTGAAAAGAAAATATGATGGATATGGGATTTCTTTCTTTGTCTTTACCAGAGAGTAGAATAAGGTGTTTTTCTCACCAAAGGTTGACACTTTTATGATAGAAGTTCTAATTAAGGGTGGCTGCAAACACCAGTCATCTAAAAGGCCGTTTAGAATTATCTGCTGATTTAAAGTAAACTCAGTACATAGTTATTCAATAGAAAATAGATGCGAGTGTAATGAAGATACAGTAACAGTGTGTCTTTCCGGCATAAACAGCTCAGGCACAGAAATGGCCATGAACCGCCCCCGTCCCTCTCACCTTGGTCAGGTAGGGGTCTAGGTAAGTTAAACAAAATGTCACGGGAGTTACCTGCTAAGTCGTGCCTGGTGCTTAATGTTGTTTTGAATGAATGAATGAATGAGGTGTTTCAGTATTAATTATGAGCCTTAAATCAGAGGTTTTCAAATATCCCACAGAATGCTAAACTTGCTGTGCTTGTGTGGGACATTCTACAAAGTGAGTGAGGCTTTGAATCATTTATAAACTTGATGAACTTCATACCTTGTTTTATATTATTCCTAAATCTGCGGAGTTTACTTCAAACCTCCAGATTATACTATCATCATCACTATTATGGGTTGACTTGTGTTCCCTAAAAAAAAAAAAAAAAAGATTGGTTGGAGTCCTAACCTCCCCCGACGCCACCCCACCTCAGGATGTGACCTTCTTTGGACATAGGGTCTTTACAGAGGTGATCAAGTGAAAATGAGGTCTTTAGGGTGGCCCTGATCCACTTATGACTGGGTCCTTATTAAAAGGGAGGCATTCGGACACAGAGATACACATGCACCCCAAGAGAAGGCCATGTGAAGACAGGAGCTCTGCCACTGGAAGCTAGGAGACAGGCCTGGAATGGATCTTCCCTAGCGCCTTCAGAGGGGTCATAGCCCTGCCCACACCTTAATCTCAGATTTCTAGCATCCAGATCTGTGAGACGAGAAATTTCTGTCATTCCAAGCCACCTGTTTGCAGTGCTTTGTTAGTTACAGCAGCCCTAGGGAACTAATACAGCCCCCCTGCCTCTGTGAGAATTTTCTTCTGCGAGGGGACATGAAGTGAAGGGCACAGGTCTCACCATCTCTATGAAGAAACTGGTACATATCTGTTTTACTGTGATCTAGATAGCAGACCGATAAAAAAGGGAATGTTATAAAAACCCGTACAACCTTCATCTTTAACCTGACATTGTACAGGGCAAGCGGTAGCAGAACCGCTCAAATTATGGGGCCCTGCCCACCTCTGCCACTTGTCCGTCGGAGGGCTTGCCTTGCGGGTCACCTGCCCTAACCAGTCTGTCCCTCAGTCCCCTCACCCGGAAGGTGGAGATCCTCATTAATGGAGTGGTAGTTATGAAGGTTAAATGAGATTTAAAAAAATACTAAAAATAATTTAAAAATAATGGGACAATAAAAGAAAAGTTCTAGAGCTGTTCTTGGTACAAAGTCATCGCCCGGGAAATGTTAGTCGTAATGGTTAGTTGCTAATAACTCATCCTTGAATGTGGATCTTTAACCATATACTGATTTTACTGTGATGCTGTCTGTGTTGATAAGTGCTTGATTGAGATTCTGCACATTTTAAAAAAAAAATTTTTTTAACGTTTTTTATTTTATTTCTGAGAGAGACAGAGACAGAGTGTGAGCTGGGCAGGGGCAGAGAGAGAGGGAGACACAGAATCCAAAGCAGGTTCCAGGCTCTGAGCTGTCAGCACAGAGCCTGATGCAGGGCTCGAACCCACGAACCATGAGATCATGACCTGAGCTGAAGTCGGCCGCTTAACCGACTGAGCCACCCAGGTGCCCCAAGATTCTGCATATTTTTAATAAAAGATGTTTTGTGGCTTCAAAAGTCATATTTCTACCCTGCACTTTTCAAAATTCTTAAATTGGTTTAGAATATTTAAAAAGCAAAAGAATTCAAGTCTTGATGTCTGTCCAGTCTAGTCGTTCATACCATTTTCATCAAAGTAGGCATTAATACAACTTTTAGTGCATTTCAAGGACATTCTTGCTTGATGTAACTTATTATAGTAAAATACGAGGAAAAAGGAATGCACTTCCGTATTACTAATAACAACGCTGAACACACGGAGCTGCTGCTTTGTGCTTTTTACATGTGTAGCTGTAGCATGATTGAAAACTACTTGCCATAACGTCTCTGCCATGCTTTTATGCCCTCCGGGGTGCCCTGAAGATATTATCAGGTCTTCGGAAGACCTGGAGATTGTCTGGCATGGGCGGGAACACGCTGCAGTGTCAGAGTCTAATCTGACTGCTAAAGATTTAGAAGCTGCCGGGGCCCGACCCTGCACCAGCGCAAGTATCGGGCATGAGTCTTTTCGCCAGCGCTTCTGGTGGCGTGTAGGATGAACACGTGTTCCTTCAAGCAGTAACAAAGGATTGAATTCAGATGTAAGTAATGTCAATGCCCACAGTGCTTTCCAACCCATTACCTCCCTCCACTAGAAATGTTCGTGGAAGTTTAGTTACATACACGGTTCGGATGTGTTTTAACAGCGATTAGGGACCTGAGTAGTGTGAATGCTTGGTTACAGTTGTTTTGCTTTGCTCTTTTGAACCACTAGAAGCTACTCGTTCAATAAAGGCTAATTCAGCTTTGAATATGGATCATCTAGAGAGAACAGAATTTTATGAAATAGCACTAGCAGGAAAAAGCATAGGTAAACTTGAAAGACTTTGTTTTTCAGTAGTATTCACCTCCACGAGAACATGTATGTTCTATCATTCATCATCGTCATCTGAGTCTTATTTAATATTTTCTTAGAATAAAATCCTTCGTACTGGAGAGCATGTTCTTGTTTGTGATGACTGCTCTTCCACATAATCTCTAACATATTTTAATGGTAACCAAAAAATTAGGATAAATAAAGAACTGTGCAGTGGGAACAGACATACTTTTGATTGTTAGATGTCATTTCCTAACGAGATACTTCCGTTATTCAAAACTTCAGTGATAACAATGCTTATGGGAAAGTAGACAGTTGTGGAGTTTGGAAGGTCAGCTGTGTTTCCAATTATTTCTTAGGAAAAAAATGCTTATTGTTAGGTTAAGAAAAGTATCCCGTTGAAGTCATAAATAACTACCAATTGAGACTGCAAGGCTATAGTCCTAATACTTTGAAGGAGAATGCGGGAATGTTATTCCCAGTGGGGGGAGACGGCCCTCTGACACAAACACTGTTGTCTCGGGCTTGAGCCTACCAGCTCTTATCCCCTGTGTTTTCTGGGTAGCTGCTGGGTCCAAACCGAGACACGTTCAGAAGGAGCTTACACTCAATTGAGAAGAGGAGACGAAATCAAACTAAAGCTGATTCCTAGAAGTGCTGTCTGTGTGTGGTCCACAGGCACTTTGGCAGTGATGGGGTAGAGCCAGTGAAGTCAGCTGTCAGAGGAGAAGCTTCGGGGGAAGTGGTGGAAAATAGAGCGTGCGCTAGGCTTTGAGGGATGGGGTCAGCTGGGATGGTGAGAGGAAGAAAGGGGGGTACATCCACTCCCCTCTTAGCATGCCAGGTGCTCTTCTGACCACAGGGCCAGGTGCTTTTAGACACCTGCCGGGAGACCTCTGCTCCGTGTTGGGCCCACCGAAGCTGGAAGGTTCAGACGCCAGTTTTCGTCCCGAACCTTCAGTCAGCTGGAACCCCATCCCGGTCGCCCTCAGTCGACCCTTCTGTGGAAAACCGGGAGCGTATGGCGAAACGTACAGCCCAGGATTTAGCGAGCTGCTGTGCTTTAGTGGATGAGATTAAAGTGTGGAACCACACCGACTGAGCACCGTACCGCAGAAAAGTAGAAGGGAGGAACGGAAATGCACTTTTATCCTAAAAGTGAAAATGGTAATCATTCACTGACTTCATTTGTCATGGAGAGAGGGATGTGAGGCGAGGGTGCAGACCCATCAGAAACGGCTCCAGGTCTGCTGGCAAGCACCTGTGTTCCGGGCGTGTTGCTGACAAGCCAGAAATGAGTCATTCATGACATAAATCAAGTCTGTGCTTTCGTGCACTTGTGCTAAAATCATTAATTCTGGCAGCATAGCAGAGAGTACAACCAGAAAGCCTTGCTTATCCCAGAAAACTGAGGAAAAATAACATTCTCCCACACTCGTCTTAGTGCTTTGCCCTCCAAAATGTTCTGCCTTTGGGCTAATTATCTGTGGAATACCGAATGGATGTTTTCCTGTGTCCGGTCTTCTAAAATCTAAGTCCCTTCTCGTGATTTTGTTTTCCTTTGTAGACTAAGTCCACATTGGCTAACCTCATGCGAATTTACAGATTGAGGGGGACGAATTTACATCATGCGGATTTACAGATTGATATCCTGAACCCAGATGGGATCCAGTAGCGTTTCTCCTTAACAGGATGTTACCGTTTTTCTTGTTTGAACCCTCTGTGTGTATTAACCGTGATATTCGTTTACTGGGACTGCTGTAACCAGTTACCATACATTGGGTGGCTTAAAGCAACGGAAATTTATTCTCACAGTTCTGGAAGCTAGAAGTCTGAAACCAAGGCGTTAGCAGAACCACACTCCCTCCAGAAGTTTCTGGGACTTTGCTTCTTCCAGCTCTGGTAGCTCTTGGCATTCACTGGCTTGTGGGAGCATAGTTCAACTACCTCCATGTTTACATGGTTTCCCCCCATGTCTCTGTGTGTCCTTTTCTGTCTCTCATAAGGACACTTTCATTGGGTTTAGGGTCCGCGCTAATCCAGTACGATCCCATCTTGAGCCTCAATTATATCTGCAAAGACCCTATTTCCAAAGAAGGTCATATTCTCAGGTTCCTTGTAGGTGTGAATTTGGAGGGGATGCTGTTTAGCCCACTATAACCCTGTTTTAAAGCTGGAATCTAGACAGATACTCTGATTTCTATTCAAACAAATTCCCATGGCTGAACAGCCTATAAGGAAAAAGCACTGGGTAACATGCAGTCTCACAGCTGTTTCTAGGAAAAAAATGACTAACTTCTCCACGACAAGGCACCTGTTCAGTTATGTCTGAAGTGTGATGTTCTGCTTCCGTCAGATGATTCTCCATCTGGTTGAGCCCTCACCTTGTTCTGACAGGAAGAAAAACTGCTAGTGACAGAATCCTTTCTTTCATAGGGAGGAAGGAAGCAATAAATAAAAACAGAACGAGCGATGCCTTCAGACGCGTATATTCCATTCTAAGGTTTGCTCGGCCCCCGAAGTCCGTGAACACTAAAGTACTTGCAGATGCTAGCTGGGGCTTCCAGGTCTGGCCCCTCTCGGTGCATTTGATTTTAAGCGGACTGATTTTCACATTGGTAGTCTAGACTTAGGACTTTTTTTTTTTTTTTTTTTTTTGTAATCATTTAACTAAGTAGAGGCACAGGGACTCAGATGTAAAGGAACAAGATCAGACCCCAACTCATTGGTGCCCCTGTCTCCCCCCGCCTCTGCCATGGAGACTCTGAGGAACCTCCGGGAGAGGGGCTCTGTCCAGCTGAGATTTGAGCATCCGTCTCTCTGTCCCTGGGTTGTCATCATTTTTCTTTAACAGAATCTGGAAGAAATAGCTGTTAACAAAAAATACTGTATGGCCTGTGTCCAGGCTTTCTCTCAGCAGTCATTTCCTGAGCACCTACCTTGTGTCAGGCGTTGTGTCCTCCCGGGGCTAGGAATGGGGATGTGTGTGAAGGCGACAGTGTCCTTTCCCCAGACGCGACTCCCACGGGCAGGTTTTGGCACTAGCCGGTCAGTGGAGGGGACAGGCTTCCCACCCCTTGGGTCTATGTTGTAGGGCAACTGCCCGCCATGCCGGAAGCCGGGAAAGCTCTGAGCTTCTTGTGAGGCAGAGAGGCGACAAGGCCTGAGCCTCAAATTTTCATAAGGAAACCTGAACGGGAAAGAGGTACACGTAGAGAATTGAGAATGGCTGTGCTTTTTATTCTTTTACACTGTATGAGCTTCATTAACTGAAACCCTGTGATGGTGACCCATGAGCACATGCCAAGTGTGAACTGGGGAACTTGCACTGGCTATGTTGATTTGGCGGCTGCGGTCAGTTCGGATTAACAGTGTTTCATCTACAGATGTCAACGATAAGAGAAAACATCTCGATGTAGAATTGTTCTACTGATTTACTATCTGTAAGATAGTTTTGGTCAGAAGAGAAGCACAAAGGACCATAATTGGAACCACGTTCAGTTGTAAGGAAAGAGAAAGATGCAAAAGTAGGAAGGTGAAATTCACATGTCCTAGCGGCAGAAAGCAACACTTGCTAAGAGAGCGAGGATCCTGGTGTTAATTAAATGATTAAATGTTGATTAAATGCGGGGGGCGCCTGGGTGGCTCAGTCGGTTGAGCCTCCAACTTCGGCTCAGGTCATGATCTTATGGTTTGTGGGCTCGAGCCCCACATCGGGCTCTCTGCTGACAGCTCAGAGCCTGCAGCCTGCTTTGGATTCTGTGTCTCCTCCTCTCTCTGCCCCTCCCCCACTCACACACTGTCTCTTTCTCTCAAAAATAAGTAAACGCTAAAAAAAAAAAAAAACTTATAAATGTGGGGCGCCTGGGTGGCTCGGTTAAGCGTCCAACTTCAGCTCAGGTCATGATCTCACGGTTCGTGAGTTTGAGCCCCACGTTGGGCTCCGTGCTGTCAGTGCAAAGCCCGCTTCAGATCCTCTGTCTCTGCCCCTCCCTCACTTGTGCCCTCTCCCTCTCAAACATAAATAAAAACATTTAAAAAAATTCTAAATGCAAAGACTCTGATTTAGACAGGAAGTTGAACATCTGTTGTGTCACTAGATCTATCAGGAAAGCTGATTACAGTCCTGGGACAAATCAGAAAGTAAAAGGACTGTGGCCTGGGAATCTCTGTCCTCTAGATGCACAGGCTCTGGGGCCCCCACAGCCCCACCCCCCCCCCCCCACGGGATTGTTTGCTCTGGGCCTACAACGAAACAAGCTCAAGGATTGGTAACTCACCCAAGGCTCCCATAGGTAGCATAGGGAATCTGTTGTCCTTGGCTAATGTGGAAATGCCACACGTTCAGAACTGCAGTCCTTGGAGGGCAGGACTAAACACCCGTGAGAGCTGAACACTTACATCCTAATGTTTCAGACTTGACAGAAAGACCAAAACTGAGAAGCAAATGCTTACTGACCTCCCACTCATGTGCACATTACGCCAATATTTCGGTTTAGTTCTGCACTTCACAGTAAGACAATGGCATCTCTTTTCTGTGGATAAGGTAACAGTTACTTACGTTGCATTTACTTCCTTGAGGGTCATCTGGCATCTGCGTAGATTACCTCCTCGTATAAGAAATAAACCGCAGAGGGGCGCCTGGGTGGCTCAGTCGGTTAAGTGTCCAACTTCAGCTCAGGTCATGATCTCACGGTCTGTGAGTTCGAGCCCCACGTCGGGCTCTGTGCTGACAGCTCAGAGCCTGGAGCCCATTTCAGATTCTGTGTCTACCTCTCTCTCTGCCCTTCCCCTGTTCATGCTGTGTCTCTGTCTCAAAAATAAATAAACGTTTAAAAAAAAAAAGAAACCGCAGATGTGCTACGTCAGAAGTGACTGTCTGCATATTATGGTGTTTCCAAGTTTCCAGACCTCCTTCTCCCCAGCTCCAGGGTGATGTTTATGAAGAACGGGCTTAGGAGTGTGACTGCCTAGCCACAGATATATCTTGCTGCTCACTTTTGGGTTCCCTCCTATATACTAAGGTTTTATTCTGCTACTTTTTTTTTTTTTAACAAGGAAAGAATGATTTATATCATTTATCCCCTACAACTATCTTCACTCCTTATTCAGTAGCATTTGTCTTGGTAGCAGTAGTAGCTACAGATGGGTGCCTTCTACTGTCTGTTTCTCTGTTCTCGACAGTTGCTTACAAAAATGTGTCAGTGGGCCAAATGTTACCATATGCATCATTGTTTCATTAATGTGTTTTTATTATTTCTGTTTACATAAGAATAACCGTTCTGATATTAGGACTCATTTTAGTAAAAATAGAGGGGAGAGTATAATTTAATTTCTTACTTTACAAGAATCCAGTTAAATTAGTAGGACCAGGGGCACCTGGGTGGCACAGTCAGTGAAACATCTGGCTCCTGATTTCCGCTCAGGTCATGGTCTCATGGTTCATGAGTTCGAGTCCCGCATCCTGCCCTGCACTGTCCATGCAGAGCCTGCTTGGGATTCTCTCTCCCTCTCTCTCTGCCTTCCCCACTCCCAACTCATACTCTCTTGTTGCGAGCGCACTCTTGGTCTTAAAAGAAAGGAAGGTAGGAGAGGTGGGAGGGAGAGAGAGAGAAAGAAAAGAAAGAAACAGTAGGGTTAAAAGCAGATCCCTTTATCACTTGAAATTTAGCCTAAACTAACCTGTGAAGTGGAAAGTCAAATCCCATACCGAGGCGGTCCCTGCGCTGTTGCACATCTGTGAATACAGCAGGAAGATTAGACGTCAGGTCTCCCTTCCGTTGGCAGAATTGCCCTTGATTGGCCTGGTTGCCTCGAGCAAGCGCTGAGTCGTTTGACTTCATTGCCTGGTGTGCCCTGTGCTTCGGACGGGTGTGAAGGATCGCGGATCGTCGCTGCGATTCTGTGGTTACCAGCACTTGCTCTTTTGCGGTTTGCCTAAAATCCGTACTTTTTCCCCCAGCGCCTCCTTTGTGGGCGGAAGTACTACTTCTTGCAGCCCTGGACTTGCCAGAAAGCACTTCACTTCCCTGCTGGCCTGGGGGAGTGGGAAACCAGGCAAGCTGCACCAGCCGGTCCTAGCTGGCCGGGATGTGGGCAGGCCTCGAACGTGACAGAGAGAGAGAGAGAGAGAGAGCGCGAGAGAGCGAGCTGGATCTTCCGGGCTCCGTGCAGAGGTTTGATGGTGTCGGGTGACATGTTTCCCGGCGGCTTTTTGCCGTTTCCGGCAGCATCTGCCTCCCGGGCGAGCGGGCGAGCGACCGATGCGTTCCCCTAACCACGGGGGTGACGGTGTGCGGGCACCGCCTCGGCCTATGGACGGCTCGGCGGGCGCAGGCCGCGGGGCGTCCCCGAGCTCACCCCGGTCCCCCGTGTCCCTTCCTTCTCAGGGCGGCAGCAGCAGCTGGACGCCCAGCGCCTGGACGACTACGTGAACGCGGACCATGGCCTGTACTACGGCACCCGGCGCTCGGTGGAGCCCCCCTCCGAGAGGCCCGGCGAGCGGCGCCAGGCCGAGATGAAGCGCCTGTACGGGGACAGCGCCGCCAAGATCCAGGCCATGGAGGCCGCCGTGCAGCTGAGCTTCGACAAGCACTGTGACAGGAAGCAGCCCAAATACTGGCCGGTCATTCCGCTCAAGTTCTGAGCCCGGGGCGCAGTGTGCCCAGCCATCACCCCCTTCCCCTCCCGCGCATCTTCTCAGGGAAATGTCTCTCAGCCCGAGAAAAAGGCATGTTCACCAAAGTCCCAGGGGGCCCACCACAGGGGTAACTCGTCGGCCGCTTGAGGTCGGCGAGACGGATACCGTCACCAACATGAAAGATTTTCTTTTGGCCTAAAGTGATGATTTCATGTAGATTATACTTGGTTTTGAGGTTAATATTCGGTTCATTAAAGTCCTCTTTTTGCCACTGCCTAGTGTTTTTTGGTTTTTCGTTTGGTTGGGGTTTTTTTGGGGTTTGGTTTTTTTTTTTTTTTTTTGCCTTTTTCTATTTTCTTCTGTCCTTCTCTCCTTAACCCAACTGAACTTCAACACAGATGCCTTAAATGGGTCAGACGTCCTCCCCTGCTCGAGCTCCCCTTAGCCCCCACTGAAAATGATCCAGCGGGACAGATCGCGCTTCTGGCCAACGTGGAGGTCAGCGGGCGTGTTCCGTAAAGGACCAGAGAGTTAACGCTTCCGGCTTTGCAGGCCACTGCTTGGCAACTGCTCGGTTGTGCCCTTGCAGCATGAGCCGCTATAGACGGTAAGTAAACAAATGGGTGTAGGTGTGTTCCAATAAAACCTCATTTATAAAAACGGGCCTCGGGCCAGATTTGGCCTGTGGCCGTAGTTTGGCGACCCCTGCTCTAATGGAATGAGACTACCTCTCTGACCTCTGGTTATCTCGTCATCTCTACAGAGCTTGAATGTCACCCAGAATTGACAGCAAAGAACAATAATCCCCAAACCTGCTCACCTCTGCAGATCCTGTGTTGCAGAAGAGGTGTCGTTGAGTTCTTACTACGTATAGCAAATACTGCTTTGAGAAGAGAATACATTTCTGAGGACGAAAATCTAAAAAGTGATGGAACAGTCTGTTTATAAACGCCAGCTGCCTTTTCAATAAGTTATTACAGCGCGTTGCCTGGGTGAGCCCATGTTGACCTGAGAAGATGAGCACATCCATCAGAGGTTGGGGGAAAAGATTTAGTATCGACAGGTCTGTCCCGAAGAACACTTAGCTCCACGGTTCAGCCCCTGCGCTGAGAGCAGTGCGTTACTTTCCTCGGCCCAGCTGCCTATTTTTCCAGGCTCTCCTTGTATTTCTGGAGTTGTGATTTGTGCTTAGGTCCCGCCAACAAAAATCAGAATTAACTTCCCCTGAGGTGGCACATGACTAAAATTTCAAATCCTAAAGAGACAGGAAGTGTGGCTCGGGCACAAATACAAAGCGAGCCTGGAATGGAGCAGCTTAGCTCTCGGGGAGTGAACTGTTCTCTCTGCAAAGGTCTCGATGGCTTCCCCCAGAGGAGCCGCGGAGCGGGCCGGGCCCCGCTGGCTTTGTGAACGCTGCCGCCGGTGCGGGCGAGTCACTTTGTCACACGCGTGAGTACCGGTGATGCCCACCTCCCCCCACCCCGCCCCGGGTCCGTGCGAAGACCACGTTGGAGTTCGTGCCTGTCCAACAGAGTGCAGGCCACACGCTAAATGCTCGGGAAGCGTCGACGTGTATTCCCTGCCTTCAAAAACTGCGAGTGCCCCAGGAAGTCCCGGGTGTGAAACCTCTCAAATGCGGAGAGAGGGCTCCCCGGCGGCTCTTCCAATGGGCGCTTTGCCTTGGGGTCTGGGAGGGACCCACGATCTGTTGGTGGGTCTGTTCAGCAAAGTTTGGTGTGCGGTGTGTGGTGACGGTAACTGCCCCTCGTGCACTGTAGGCCCTGCAAGAGCCGGCAGGCCAGGGGAAGGAAGGGAGGGGGAGGAAGAAGGGGAGGAAGAGTGGGGACAAGAGGGGAAGGGCCGGGCTTCTCAGCCTCCGCACTGTTGACATTCGGGGCTGGATCATCCTTGGTTCTAAAAAACCTACGTACTCTGGAGGCACGTGTATGTACTAAAACCAAGAAGCCTGCGTGGACGTGATCCACACCAGTTTCAAAACTGGTTGGTTCTGAGCACGGTGAGGACAGGACTGCCATTCAAAAGGCGTTTTTCGGTCTCTCTGATACTTAATTTCTTTCCAACAGAAGAGCCATGGTAGGAACCCCGCTTTGACGGAAGCCCCCGAATTCCTCAAACTCTCTTCTGACATAAAATAGCTTATCTTTCAGGGCGCCTGGGTGGCTCAGTTGGTTAAGTGTCCGACTTCGGCTCAGGTCATGATCTTTCGGTTCGTGGGTTCAAGCCCCGCGTCGGGCTCTGTGCTGACAGCTCGGAACCTGGAGCCTGCTTCACATTCTGTGTTTTCCTCTCTCTGCCCCTCCCCCGCTTGCGCTCTGTCTCTCTCTGTCTCTCAAATGTGAATAGATGTTAAAAAAAAAAAAAAGAGTTAATCTTTCACTTCATTCATAGGGTTAGCCATTACGTGAAGCGTTTATCAAACACTTCTACAGGGCTTACTCCGGGCACGCGCTTTTCTAACTGCTTTACGAATGCTCATTTCTATAGCAATTAACCTATGTGACAGACCCGTGAAGTAGCCATTTCAGCTGCCCGGCCTGTTTTCCAACACCCTTCCATCAGGTGTGTCGAAGAACACAGACATTGCTGTACTTTGGCAAAGTACAACATGTCGTAGAACTTGTCCCAGCGGGCCAGGCCAGCAGCCTCTCTTCACAGACAGTTGTCAGTAGTATTCTTGGTGGGAGAAGTAGAGACCATAAATACCCTCAGGTCCGTTCAGATCGGCCTTCGGCATCAAATCCTTACAGTCAGCTCGGGTCGAGCTGCCAAACATTATTTAAAACCCACGCACGCCTGCCAGTTTCCGAGGCTTCGGGGATTTCGGAAGAGTGAGGGAATAACATTCCTGTCACGGACGCGGGGAAACAGCACAGACAAATTAACCACCTTCATTCACCAAGTCCGCTTTCAGTGGCGGATGTGGGTGCGAAACCCGAATATTCTGACTCCCCAGCTCCCCACTCTGGACTGCTTCACCCTGCGGAAGTCGGCCTCTACAACCGTATTCGCAATATGGGTAAAGCACAATATATCCGGAGCACAGCAAAGAATCTGGAGCCGCCGACAGCCCTCAGCAAGATTCCAGCTTATTCCATGCTGGAGCACGGGGTTAGCTTCCAGTCCCGGCTCTGCTTAAGAATGTGTGACCCTGGATGGTGCACTTGTGCTCTTTGAATTTTAGAACTGAGGCTGTGGCAGCTGGAAGAAAAGGGGACACGCTTGAGATATTGAGGGTAGAAAGTTCTGCGGCTCAGCGACTTGGGGGCAGGTGACGAAAAGTCTGGGATGGCTCGGGTTTCTGTCTTGGCGGTTCTAGTCACTGAGGTAAAGAAAACAATGAGGCAGTTTGGGATGAAGAACTAATTCCATTTGGGACAGAGTGTGAAGAGCTCACAGGGCATCCAGTGACATCCTGCCAGTCAGTGGAGAGGGTCTACATCAAAAATACAGACTGAGACTCCTGGGTGGCTCAGTCAGTTAAGCAACTGACTTCGGGCTCAGGTCATGTTCTCACGGTTCGTGAGTTCGAGCCCTGTGTCGGGCTCCATGCCGACAGCTCGGAGCCTGGAGCCTGCTTCGGATTCTGTGTCTCTCTCTCTCTGCCCCTCCCCTGCTCGCGCTCTGTCTCTGTCTCTCAAAAGTAAATAAACATTAAAAAAAAATTTTTTTAAATACAGACTCTTGGGGCGTCTGCATGGCTCAGTCGGTTAAGCGTCCGACTTCAGCTCAGGTCATGATCTCACGGTTCGTGGGTTCGAGCCCCACGTCGGGCTCTGTGCTGACAGCTCAGAACCTGGGGATTCTGTGTCTCCCTCTCTCTCTGCCCCCCCCCACTCGGACTCTGCCTTTCAAAAATAAATAAACATTAAAAAAACTTTTTTAAAAACTTGGGAAATTTGAATATGAACTGCTAGAGGATATTAGAGAATTGTTTATTTTGTTAGGTGTAATAGTTCTGTGCTTATGTTTGGTTTTGTTTTGTTTGTTTAAAGTTCTGACCTGTTAAAGACACTGTACTCTTTACAGCTGAATTCGTGGGATGCCTGGCATTCCTTCTGAAGGGTTCCAGTGGCAGAGCGCAGGATAGGGGACCCGTGAAACAAGATGAACACAACATTGAGAACCATTGAAGCTGGGAGATGGGTACACGGAGGTTGAGTATGCTCTTTTCTCTAGCGTGGTCTGTGTTTGAACATGCCATAGCAAGTTTTTGGAAAATCAAATGCACTTTGAAAGAAAGAGATGAAGAGCATTGTCACAGAAAGGTCTGGTAAGAGTAGACTTTGGCCTCACCATCTAGAGACCGTTGTAATCTAAAAGACCTTAGAGCAGTTTCAGTGGATGGGTGAGGCAGAAAACCACATTTTACATCAAAAGTGAATATACTGGGATGGGGGCAGGGAAGCATTGGGGCATGTCCAAGGGACATGGGAGCCGATCTGAAGGAGCTCCCCGTGGGCCAACTGGAACAATTTGAGCACAGATATATAACATAGTATCGGATTGTAAGCCACGGAGAAAAGAAAGACACACGAGTCCATACTGATAAATGAGCGAATAATAAATGAGAAGGGACAAGCCTTCCTTACGGAAGAATTTCAAAGATCTGTAGATACTGCCCCTTCCAAGAGGTGGCCCATACTCTCCCTTCCCCACTGAGTGGGGGCTAAACCCGTGACACAGGATAGAAAGGGAAAAAGTACAACTTTCAGTTCACTGTCTCCTAGCGCTCAAAAGTTAACATCACCAGTAATAAGTTCTGTGGTACCTTGTGCTACCTGATGGGATCTGATGTGACGAGAACCCGTAACCCCAGTCTCATCATGAGAAACACATCACATAAACCCAAACTGAGAGACAGTCTACAAAATGCCTGACTAGCGCTTTTCAAAACCCTCAGAGTTAGGAAAAACAAGCAAGGACAGAGACTGTCACAGGGGAGACTCAGGAGACATGACAACAACTAATTGCCATGTGGGATCCGGGATTGGACCCTGGAGGAGAAAAAGGATATTGATGGAAAAACTGGTGAAATCCAAATAAAGTCTGTAGTTTTATGTGTGTGTGTGTGTGTGTGTGTGTGTGTCAGTGTATTTATTTATTTTGAGAGAGAGAGCAAGCGGGGGAGGGACAGAGAGAGAGAGGGAGAGACAGAATCCAAAGTAGGCTCCAGGCTCTGAGTTGTCAGCACGGAGCCCGACGTGGGGCTCGAACTCACAGACCACGAGATCATGAGCTGAGCCGAAACCGAGCCAGACGATCAACCGACTGAGCCACCCAGGTGCCCCAAAGTCTATAGTTTTATTTATTTAACAGGAATGTGCCAATGTTAATTTCTTAGTCTTGACAAATGTCAACTTCTGCCATAGTTGTGTAAAATGTTAATATGGGAAACTGGGTGAAGAAGTACAGGATCTCTGTGATCTTTACAACCTTTCTATAATCTAAAATAATTCCAAAAAACACTTTAAAATAAAAATAGAAACGTAATATTGATTTTTGGTGATCGTATTTATACCAGTTACCCTTGCATCACCTTCCAAAGGGGGAAGATATATTTTTATTTTTCTAAAGGAGGCATTTACAAAGCCAAAGTGCCGTGAAATCTGACCTCTTGAACACGAGTATGACAGGACTGAAGGGAAAGCCAAGTGAGGATCCGACCTTTGTCAGGTGCCCAGCATACGTAGTGCTGGGCCAATTACACAAATTACCTGCCTTGTTTCTTCTAACAACCTGATGAAGCGTGATCCTCAATTTTCTGATGGGCAAATCGATTCAAAGTAAAAAGAAGTAACATGCCTAATGGCTGGGGGTTGGGTAGAAATGGGGAGTGACTACTTTTGAGGCGATGAAAATGTAGTTCTGGAACTAGATAGAGGTGGTGGTGGCCCAGCGCCGTGAATGTGCTAAATGCCACGGAATCGTTCACTTCAAGATGGCTGCTTTTGTGTTCTGTGAATTTCAGCTGCACGGAAGAAAATGTAACAAAGAAGACTGAGAAAGGATAGTGTGGGGATGGGAGGAAAACCCAAAGAGTGAGGTGCAGAAATCATCTGGTGCATAATATTTCCCAAGTTTTATGTGTTGACCAAAGACCAGTTGTTGCACAAAATGGGCATTCGTGTCTGCCGGAACACGAATATGCCATAGGACACACTTTGAGAACCACTAGTTCGCTGAACGAGGCCTCAATTTAACAAAGAGAGCAACGCAGGAGTCTTATTTGGCTACAGGTGCCCATGTGGCTTCAGGAAACCGAAAGAGAATCAGAGACCAGTTTGAGGAGCAGCTTGATTTGGACTCGGTCTGTTCCTTGAATGGGTAGATTTGGCAATATGGAGATGGCAGGGACACCCCTCAGGTAGAGTGACCAGCGAGGGACAGGAAATGCAGCTGGGTGTGGGAAACAGAATGTAGGGCCATCTGCCAAGCTCCCAAGATTCCCAGACCCGGCTGCAAGTTAGACTCCCTTGGGCCCTGCTCCTGCCAAGTACATCAGAACTGCTGGCCGTGGAGGCCCAGGCACGGGTATCTTTTTTTGAAAGCTCTGCAGATGATCCTGATGTACAGCCAGGGTTGAGCCCACTGGGCTAGACCCGCTTTCTCAAACATGGCGCCAGGACCTACTGATGTTCAGTTTGAGGTTTGGTGTTATTCCCTACCTCTCAGACTTCAACAAGAATCACCTGGGGAGCTCCCTAGAACACGGGGTTCCTGGGCCCTACCGCCGGATTCCGATTCAGCAGTCTGGGGTGAGGCCCAGGAACTTGCATTTCTATCAAGCCCCCAGGTGATGTTGATGCCACTGGGCCACTGACTCCACCTTGAGTGGCACGGAGGGAAGCCATGTGGTACAACAGTAGCGGACCAGTGAAGGGAAGTTTCCAGTGATTTGCTTAAGTACCTATAAGACAGCGGATGCAGGTGTTTGAACGGCAGACACCCGGGTTGGTGTCAGGGCAGCCGGCCGGATTGGTGAACACCCCACGGCTCTCCCTGCTCCCTAGCAAGTGTGGGGAGAAGGTCGTTGGGACCTGGGCCCGAGTGAGGCTTCGTGGAGGGGAGTGGTGGCTCAGAAGGGGGGGGGGGGGAAGGGCTCTTCCCGCCCGGCTGGGGAGGCCGCAGGCAACCGCGAGGTCTTTGCAAAGGCCCAGCCGGGTCGGAGCATCTCTCCGGAACACCACCTGCTCGCAGGCAGTGACAGCAAATGAGGACCAACGGGGCTTGGCCGGGGCGGCGGGGGGTCCGCAGGGAGAGGACGGATGGGGCAGAGCCGGCAACCTGCCCGCAGCCCCCTGTTGCTCCCCCTGCCAATCCATCACGGATCCGGGGGGCACCGCCGCCCCCCACCCCCAGTCCCGCGGCCGCTGAGTCGGAAGGACCGCCCTCTCTCATCTGGATTCACTCTGCGGCTTCCTACCCGCCTCCGCCCCCTGCGAGCTCTTCTCAGCAAGGCCCCGACGCAGATGCGTCCAAGATGCTTTTCTCTGCTTCATGTCATTCCGGGCGGGCGACAGCTCTGCCCCTCCTCCAGTGGCCCTCACTGCACCGCCAGGTCTGGTCCCCTATTCACCTTCTGACCCCGGTTCAGTCTTCTTGCCCCTCTCTCTTTTTGCTCTGGCCCCACCGAGCTCCTCTTTCTAGAAGCTTGCTACTCAAAGTGTGCCTCCTTGGGTCAGCGGCATCAGCACCTACTGGGAACCCACTGGAAAAGCCGTCTGGAGTCCTCCCCCCGCCCCACTGAATCAGAATCTGCGTTGCAACAGGGCCCCCTGGGGTATCCCTCCTGCCCCCAGGATTATGTGTTCATTTCCTTGTCCGGACAGCTTGCCCTCTATGTACCCACATAAATCACTCCCTCCCTCCTTGATCCACATGTCGTCTTCTCTATCTTGAAAACCTCAGCCCCTCCATCAGGGAGGCGCTCCTCTCTCTCTCTCTCTCTCTCTCTCTCTCTCTCTCTCTCTCTCTCTCTCGCCTTTATCTCCTCCAGAGCACCTCTAACCACGTGCTGGCCTTTGGGGAGCGGAATCAGGTGTGCAACGAAGGTGGCGGGGACTGCTGCTTGTTTGAGTCGGTCTTGGGGCGTTAATGGACTTGTAAATGATGTGAGTGTAAACCTTTCATTCGCTGGTTTGTGGAGACTTAAAACTGGCAGAGCCCGGTTCCCCACGTAAGGAGCTTGGGAGTCACCAGCGTATCCTAAAAACAAGTAAAAAGCTGAACAGACTGAAAAAATCAACGTGTCTTCTAGGCTCCGTAAGAAAGGGGAGGGGTGGGGGTGGGGAGGCAGGTGAACACGAGTGGTGGCTTTTCCACGGGCAGAGACCCCCCAGGCGGAAGGAAGCGTTGATGAGAACCCGTGTCGGGACAGGAGGACACGGACTGCTGGAGGCCTAGTGTGGACAGCTCCGGGGGCGAGGGCCAGACATTGGTCGTGAGATTTACCTCCAGGAGGTTGAGCAGATTTCCCAGAGGACGTGTGGCAGAAAATCAGGTTTCCGGCAGGGAGAGGCGGAAAGGAAGCATTTTTGAACGAAGCCAAGGCTGTTTTTCGCAGCAGGGCCTGCCTGCCCGCAGGGGAAGCTCGTTAACCAGAGCCTACCCTGCCGGGGTATTTTCAGAACCTCACTGCAGCCCTCCTAGCCCCGCCCCCCTGTCCTCGCCAGCACATCCCCCAAAGGCCCGTTTACGGCGGTTCCTTTTACCTGGCACACCATGTCCAGCTATCAGGAACAAAGGACCAGGCGTGGCAAAGGACAGAAAGGACGATTTGCAGAGATAAAGCAACCACCCAAACCAGACGTAGCAGGAGTGGTGGAATTGTCAGACCAGGAATTCAAGACAGCTGTGGTTCGTATGCACAGGCTCTGATGGAGAGACAGCACGCAGGAACAGATGGGCAACGTCAGCAGGGGAAAATCCTGAAAAAGAACCACGAGGAAATGCTAGCGATCAAAAACACCGGAACACAGATGAAGCGTGGCTTTAGTGGGTTTATTAGTAGACTGGACACAGCTGAGGAAGACCATCTCTGAGCTGGAGGATGTATCAACAGGCTCACTTGAGGGGCGCCTGGCTGGCTCAATCAGGTGAGCCTCTGACTACTGCTCAGGTCATGATCTCACAGTTCGGGAGTTCAAGCCCCACGTCGGGCTCTGTGCTGACAGTGCAGGGCCTGCTTGATATTCTCTCTCTGTCTCTCTCTCTCTCTCTCTGTCACTTGTGCCCCCTCTCTCTCTCTCTCTTTCAAAATAATAAACTTAAAAAAAAATAGACTCCTTGAACACCAAAAAGCGGAGAACAAAGACTGGGGGAGAAAAGAAAAGAACAACCCAGAACATAATATCCAAGAACTGGGGAACAACTAACTACAAAACGTGTTAGATACACATGGGAATACCAGAAGGAGAAGAAAGAAAGGAACAGGAGAGAGATTGGCAACAATAATGGTAGAGAATTGCCATCATTTTTGTGTCAGACGCCAAATTAATCAATGTCAGACCCCAAACCTCAGACCCAGGAAGCTCACAGAACACCAAGCAGGATAAATGCCCAAAACAAAACAAAACCACACCTTGGCAGATCATTTTCAAATGACAGAAAATCAAAGATAGAAAATTCCAGAAAGAAGTCAGAGGAAGAAAACACCTTACCTATAGAGGAACAAAGATAAGAATTATATCCAGCTTCTCAGCAGGCAAGCAAGGAGACTAGAATGAAATATTTAAAGCGTTGAGAGGAAAATCCCACCAACTTAGAATTCTGTAGTTGGTGAAGTTATCTTTCAAGCATGAAGGAGAAATAGAGACTTTCTCAAATAAAAGTTGAGGGAATTTGGGGCGCCTGAGTGGCTCAGTCGGTTAAGCTTCTGACTTCAGCTCAGGTCATGACCTCACAGTTCGTGGGTTTGAGCCCCGCGTTGGGCTCTGTGCAGGCAGCTTGGAGCCTGGAGCCTGCTTCGGATTCTGTCTCCCTCTCTCTCTGCCCCTCCCCCTCTCACGCTCTGTTTTTCTCTCTCTCATAAATAAACATTAAAAAATAATTTTTCTACAAATTGAGGAAATTTGTTGCCTTGCAGGAAATGTTAACGAATTCGGGCGGAAGGAAACTAATACAAGTCAGAAACTTGGACTCACACAGGGAAAGGAAGAGCATCAAAGGAGAAATCAGTCGAGGTAAAATAAAAACATTTTTTGTATTTTTTTCACTTCAAAGTTTGGTTATTTATTTGTTTATTTATTTATAATCTCTACTCCCAACATGAGGCTCCAACTCATGACCCAAGATCAAAAGCCATGTCCTCTACCCGCTGAGCCAGCCAGGTGCCCCAAACTATTTAATTCTTTTAACTAAGATTTGGTTATTTTAATGCAATGTCATTGTTTAAGATAGTATGGATATGTTAAGTGGTTTATTTCCTTCTTGAACAAAACACTGACGGCTTCTACCTTACGTGATAGTGTCAAATTCAAACATGACTGGCAATTTGTTGTTTTTAAACGTTTTCTTTACATATCTTGATAAGATTGTTTATTCTGGAACTTTAAAAAAAAATTTTAACATTTTTCATTTTTGAGAAAGAGAGACAGAGCATGAATGGGGGAGGAGCAGAGAGAGGGGGAGACACGGAATCCAAAGCAGGTTCCAGGCGCTGGGCTGTCAGCACAGAGCCCGACAGGGGGGGGTGGAAGGGCTCGAACTCATGAATGGCGAGATCATGACCTGAGCTTAAGTCAAATGCTTAACGGACTGAGCCACCCGGGCGCCCCTGGAACATTTTTTTAAAACACTCAAGTAGCTCAGAAACATCTCCTATTTGCTCATTCCTCTGGGCACAGCCTCCCACCTGTCCTGAAAATCTCTGTTCTCCCAGCTGGTGGTGGGGCTGCTTGATGGAGGTGATCATGGGAAAATGAGGAGCGAGCAAGCTTTGCAAGCTACTTGGAATTCTCTTCACTAGTATGATGCGATCTGTCCGGCCTCTGCAAGGTCGGATGTGCAGGACGAGTACTTGGCCAAAAAGCAGGATGCCAACTGGTGTAAAAATAGATTTTAAATACAATAGAATCTCTATAGGAAAGAGAAGTAGGTTATCTTCACATTCCCATTCTTGCTTTAAAATATTTGTATATATTAGTCGAAGAGCGACTTCAAAGTTGGTCTGCCCCGAGGCAAAATTCAGAATGTCTGAGTACATTCATTTTTGCCGAGTTACAAGTCAGGTTCTTTGGGAAACGCTGTGGATACATTACATCCCACCAAACCACCCAAACGGGAATGGATAAGTGATACAGTGTGCTAAGTCACACGTGAGACATTTAGGCCAAAGAGGATGAGGCCTAATCATGGGCTGAGAAACAATTCGGAAATGGGATCCTTTGAAAACTTGGCCCAACTATAAAGCAGAAAATAAAGCCCGTCATTTAACAGTATGTCCTTTTATTTCGTTTAACTCCAGTGTAGTTAACATACAGTGTTATGTTAGTTTCAGGTGTATAATATATGATTCAACAGTATAGCTTTTTTTTTTTTTTAATTTTTTTTTTTCAACGCTTATTTATTTTTTTTGGGACAGAGAGAGACAGAGCATGAACAGGGGAGGGGCAGAGAGAGAGGGAGACACAGAATCGGAAACAGGCTCCAGGCTCTGAGCCGTCAGCCCAGAGCCTGACGCGGGGCTCGAACTCACGGACCGCGAGATCGTGACCTGGCTGAAGTCGGACGCTTAACCAACCGCGCCACCCAGACGCCCCAACAGTATAGCTTTTTAACCTATCCAGCTACGTCTTTTGGAATCTAAATTCCAACAAAGGTCTTACTTTTTGGTTTTACTTGTACTTTTTTTTAAGTTAAAATTTTTATTGAGACACAATTGACATATAACATTGCATTAGTTTTAGGCATACAGCATAATTATATATATATGTATGTGTATATGGCAAAATGATCACCATAGTAAGTTTAGTCTCACATTCATCACCACACGTAGTTAACAAATTTTTTTTCTTGTGATGAGAACTTTCCAGATTTATTCTCAGGGGCGCCTGGCTGGCTCAGCAGAGCGTGCGACTCTTGATCTTGGGGTCATGACTTCAAGCCCCATGTTGGGTGTAGAGATTACTTAAAGTTTGTACCTTTTGACCCATTTCACCCTTCACCCATCCCCCCACCCCCTGCTTCTTGGCAATCGCCCATCTGTTTTCTGTATCTATGAGTTTATAGGGGTTTGGGGATGTTCTTTTTAATTCCACATATAAGTGAGATCATGTGGTATTTGTCTTTCTCTGTCTGACTTATTTCATTCAGCATAATGCCCTCAGGGTTTATCCATGTGGTTGCATATGGCAGGATTTCCTTCTTTTCGGCTGAATAATATTCCACTGTGTGTTCATCTGTCAGTAGACACATAGGTTGTTTCTATGTTCTGGCTACCATGAATCATGCTGCAGTGAACATTATTAGTGTGCAGATATCTCTTCAAGAGAGTAATTTCATTTCCTTTGGCTATATCCCCAGAAGTGGGATTGCTGGATTATATGATACATCTGTTTTTAATTTTTTGAGAAACCGCCATACGGTTTTCCAGAGTGGCTACACCAGTTTACATTCCCAGCAACAGTCCACAAGGGTTCTTTTCTCTCCACATCCTCACCAACAAGTGTTATTTACTTTTTTGATAAAAGCCATTCTAAAAGATGTGAGATGCTCTCTCACTGTGGTTTTGACTTGCATTTCCCCAATGATGAGTGATGTTGAGTGCTTTTTCATGTGCCTGTCGGCCACTTGTTTGTCTTCTTTGGAAAAATGTCTCTTCAGATCTTCTCATTTTTAATCAGATTAGGTTTTCTTCTGTTGGGCTGTAGGAGTCCCTTATGTATTTTGGCTATTAACCCTTTATCAGATATATGATTTGGAAATATTTTCTCTCATCCCGTAGGTTGTCTTTTCATTTTATTGGTGGTTTCCTTTGCTGTAAGCAGCTTTTTTTGTTTTATGTAGTCACATTTGTTGATTTTACTTTTGTTGCCTTTGCTTTTGGTGTCAAATCTAAAAAAATCCTCACCAAGACTGATATCAAGAGGCTTTTACCTCTTATGTTTTCTTTTAGGAGTTTTGTGGTTTCAGGTCTTACATCCAAGTCTTTAATACATTTAAAAAAAAATCTTTTTTTAATATTTATTTATTTTTGAGAGAGACAGGCAGACAGAGCACAAACAAGGGAGGGGCAGAGAGAAAGAGGGAGACACAGAATCCGAAGCAGCTCCAGGCTCTGAGCTGTCAGCACAGAGCCTGACACGGGGCTCAAACTCACAGACCAGGAGATCATGCCCTGAGCTGAAGTCGGACGCTTAACCCAGTTAGCCATCCAGGCGCACCCAGTTTTGTTTTTTGTTTTTGTTTTTAATTTTTTTTTTAATGTTTATTCAGTTTTGAGAGACAGAGGCAGAGCACAAGTGGGGGAGGGACAGAGAGAGGGGGAGACACAGAATCTGAAGCAGGCTCCAGGCTCCGAGCTGTCAGCACTGAGCCCGATGCGGGGCTTGAACCCACAAACCATGAGATCATGACCTGAGCCGAAGTCGGCCACTTAACCAACTGAGCCACCCAGGCGCCCCAGTTTTGTTTTTTTTTTAATGTTTATTTATTTCTGAAAGAGACAGGCAGACAGAGCACAAGTGAGGGAGGGACAGAGAGAGACGGAGACACAGAATCCTAAGCAGGCTCCAGGCTCTGAGCTGTCAGCACAGAGCCCGATGTGGGGCCAGAACTCATGAACCATGAGATCATGACCTGAGCCGAAGTTGGATGCTCAACCAACTGAGCCACCCAGGTGCCCCTAATACATTTTTCAATTGATTTTTGTGTATGGTGTAAGATTATTTTACTTTATTTTTTATATTTATTTCTTAATGTTCTTATCCTTAATTCACCTAACAGATCACAGTTTGCTCAAAATAATAATAGCAACAATGTATTCAATTACCTATACTTGTGTATATCTTATGAGTGTATATGCCTATGTATGCTTATGTATAAGTGAAATGAATGACAGCAATATTAGAAGAGGTAAAAGGGAGGAATTGGGATTATTTTGTTATTTTAAGGTACTCATACTACATTGTGTGGTATATTTGAAAGTAGACTTGGATTTGTTGTAAATGTATAATTGCAGACTCTAGGAAAACCACTAAAAAAGTAAAAAAAAAAAGCATAACTGATATGCTAAGAAAGGAGAGGAAATGGAGTCCTATAAAATGCTTAGTTAAAACTACAAAGGGTAGAAAAAGAGTAGGAGGTTAAAATGGGAACAAGGAAAAAGCGAAGCACAAATTACTAATCTCAGAAATGATATTCACTACAGATCCCATGGAAACTGAAAAGATAATAAAGGAATACCCTGAACAGCTCTGTGCCCGCAAATCTGATAATCTAGACCCAGTGGATCGATTCTTTAAAAGATACAATCTTGCAAAACTCACACAAGAAGAAACAGAGTATCTGAACAAGCCTATATCTGTTAAAGAAGTTGGATCAGTAATTATAATCTTCCAAAACAGAAAGCACCAGGCCCAGATAGGTTCACTGGTGTATTCGACCAAACATTTAAGAAAGAAATTATTCCAAGTCTTTGCAGTCTCTTTCAAAGGATAGAAGCAGTGGGAATGTTTCCTCACTCATTCTATGAGACCAGCATTACCCTAATACCAAGACTAGACAAAGGCACTACAAGGAAAGAAAGCCACAGGGGCACCAGGTCCGACTTGGGCTCAGGTCATGATCTCACGGTTTGTGAGTTTGAGCCCTGCATTGGGCTCTATGCTGATGGCTCAGACCCGGAGCCTGTTTCAGATCCTGTGTCTCCCTCTCTGCCCCTCCCCTGCTCACACTCTGTCTCTCTCTCTCAAAAATAAACGTTAAAAATTTTTTTTAGAAAAGAATACCACAGGCCAATATGTTCATGAGCACAGATGCAAAAATCCTCAAGTAGGAAGATCCACAGAGATGGCAAGTAAGCATGTGAAGAGATGCTCCACCTCATATGTCCCCCGGGAAATGCAAATTAAAACAGTAATGAGATACCACTACATATCTTTGAGAGAATGGCCAAAAGCCAGAACACCAACAACACCAAATGTTGGCAAGGACTTGGAACAACATGAACTTCCCTACACGG